AGATAAAATAGTCTTATCCTCAGTTTGAACTATCTGCTTCAAAAACATAGTTGTAAGAACGAAAGTTCAACCTCAAGACCTAATGCGTTCGCATCGGGGTGCCAAACGAAACAACTTCGTCCATAATAGCTCTTCCGTAGGAAAAGACAAACACTTTCAACGTGATATTTAGAGACAAACCCAACCTTCCTTGTAACAATAGAATAAAGCTATTAAAATTTGATGAAAATAAATCAAATCTGGAATATTCATTGACAACCTGTGAATTTGGTTGAATCGACAAGAAAAGCCAGAAAAAAAAGTAGGGAACTTTAACAAAAAGCATCTGGTACTGTTCACTTGAATGAAAAACCATATTTTTACACTAAAAAATCAATCCTAATACTATTCACTTTACCCTTTATTTTTTCCTTATCGTTAAAACTCAAAGTTTTCAAGCCATTTTCATTAGTTTTCCTAAAAAAGTATCATCTGTATCTGGAATTAAATTGTTGATAATTTTATGTCGGGTCCTAAATCACTATTTGTTAAAACGATATAATCATGGTTAACTATCACCATGGAAGAAAATGCCGATAATATCGGCGAAATATCGCCGATATTATCGGTTTTTCGGGATGGCGATATTAAAAGTGGTATCCGAATGCTTTTCGGCCAAATATCGCGATATTATCGATAATATCGATAATATCGCGATATTTTGGAAATATCGGCGAAATATCCATGGACGGTGGAATCGGAATCCGAGGCGACGTCGGAGAAGAACGCCGGAGACGGTGGGGCGATTCCCGGGCCGGTTTGGTCCCAAAAACCTTGCAAAAACACGAATCTTAACATCAATTTCACATATATACATCAGATTTCACGCATGCATAAACGATTCAAGGCAGGGTGAAGTCGGTTTAGGGTTTAAGGTTTCATGGAATCTCACCTGACGAAGACGAAGACGAACGATCCTTGCTCAGCGGCGCACCTCTGACTTCGCCTGAGCCACGATCAACGGCGAAGGGAGAAGAGAGATCGAGAGATCTCTGTGTGTGTGTGTGTGTTTGGGAGAAGAGAGATCGGAGATCTCTCTTTGTATGTGGGTGTTTGGGAGAAGAGAGATCGGAGAAGGGAGAAGAGAGATCGGAGAATGGAGAGAGAGATCGAGAGATCTCTGTGTGCGTGTGTNGTGGTGGTGCCGTTCCACTTATTGTCGCATTTAGCCTCGTGGATCGCCGTGGTCCCATTTCCTTGGTTTTCATTGTGGAATTTTCTAAATTTCTAGCCATTGTATTCTTCTTTTACATTTTATCAAAGAATCCTTTGCAAATAAAAAATTCTAATAATAAGAACGTATGAAAAAATACAAATAGGACTAGAAAATAAAGAGAAAAACCTTTTTTATGCGAGAGTCTTCTACGAGTATAGGATTTCTTCTCTCAATGAAAACACCAATTTGTGGATGCAATTTTCTTCCTCCTTGATCTTGGATAAAATTTTGCACCTACAAAAACAATTAACACCTTAGGTTAAGGCCAAGAGCCTCACGCGCCCACGATGAATTGGGGGGGCTTTGGCCGAAGAACCTCCGATGCCAAAGTTAGAATTTAGAGAGAAAAAGTGTTTGAGAATTCTAGAGAATTTTAGCAAGAGTTGGAAGTCCTTTTTGGGAGAGAACGGTGAGCTATATATAGGGATATGGCCGGCCCTATTAGGAGAATAGGGACCGACCATTTAGGTATTTTTTTTTGGTGTAAATTGTGGTTAATTAGGTAATAAATCTAATTTGGACCCGGCACGACCCTTGCCCATCCCTAATGCCATCGCCATTTGGAGGCAATTGCAATTGCCACACATTATTAGTAGTTACTCCTTTTGGGCAAATGGTCCGTCCCTTGATTTGCAAATCGGGATCTAAAATCTGAAAGAAATTTTAGAATCTAGTTACATACATGATACATACTACAACACGAGAAATTATCGTTTATATCCAAAATTTATGTCTTAAATTCAAAATTGTCAGTTTTTATAAAAACTATCATTTATAGCCAAAACCTCACATCAATATACCAAATTACCCTCAAAATGGAAAACAAACGCCAAAGAGATTCTCTTTGTGTTCTTTTTCATTTTAGGGTTTAATTATTTTCATATCTCAATTCGAATCCAAAAAGATAGAAAGAGGGCCTGATGAAATTAAACATTTAATAAAGAGGTATTTATTCTAATGGAAATTAAGTCAATCAAATTATCAAATTTCATTTCTTAATTTACAAGCCTACAACGAAGATCATGATAAAAATTTCACATAACTACAATTTTTGAATATTCTTGTGTGATAATTAATTGATATTTCTTAGAAAATTTTGTTAGAACTATTAACTTCTGGATATTTTTAAAATTGTATTCGGCAGGTAATTTTTTTTTATGAAACTGCGATTGCATGTTCTTATGCATTCTGCATATGATCTCTTTTAAGTAGAGGGTTACCCAAATTAGGCATTTAATTAAGGGAAATTGAGCATAATATGCACAACCGGTGAATCAATTTTAATATGGATCTGTAAAAGGCAAAAAGAAAAAGAGGGAGGCAGGGGAAGGTCTTTGCAGCAAATCACTCCAGACAAGTGCATTGGAAGATGAGAATATTTTAGATTGATTTTATGGTGACGAGGAGAATCATATATATGACGATTCAAATCCAAAGTCTAAGAAAATTGATGTTGTTGCCTCTGGATCCCAATATGGCAGCAATGTTACTGGGGAAATAACGATGCTTAATTAGGTTTTGGTTTTAGGTGTAATTAAGTTTTAATTTTGAGGGTAGTTGGGTCTATTCAAGTGAACTTTTGGCTATATTTGAATTGTTTTATAAAAAACTGACATTGATGAATTTGTGTGCTAAATTTTGGCTATAAATTATAAATACCCCTACAACACTTCTGCCGTGTGTCGGTGACTCCCTCACTTTCTCTCCAGACTCGCGGACTCAGAGACTTGCCAGTGGGAGGTGGTGGGTCTCTACTCTATTCTATCATAGATTACAGGTCTGAGTAATCTTCTCATCGACAAGACAAGACGCAAGCAAGAGAAGGAAGGATGAAGGTGATAGAGAAGATCCAGGAGTCATTGGTGGATGAGAAGAAGGTGGTCTTCTCCTTCGAGTTCTTCCCGCCAAAGACGGAGGATGGCGTGGAGAACCTGTTGGAGAGGTTGGATCGGATGGTGGCCCACGGCCCGGCCTTCTGCGACATAACCTGGGGTGCCGGTGGCTCCACGGCGGATCTGACGCTGGACATTGCCAACAAGATGCAGAACCTCATCTGCGTGGAGACCATGATGCACCTCACCTGCACCAACATGCCCGTCGACAAGATCGACCACGCCCTCCAAACCATCAAGTTCAACGGCCTCCAGAACGTTCTTGCTCTCCGGGCGGACCCGCCCCATGGCCAGGACAAGTTTGTTCAGATCCAAGGAGGCTTTGCCTGTGCCCTGGACCTGGTTCGTACCTTCTTTATTAGTTGATCATCTCTTCTTCTTAATCTTACTGAAATTCTCGATGACGATGATGATGATGCCATAATTCCCCAGATATGTCTGACACATTCATTCATCTATTGCTTGCGAATTGCACATTGCAAATTCACTGTAAATTCCAAAATCAGTAAATCACCCATTTGCAATTGCAGGTCACCCATATCAGAGCCAAATATGGTGACTACTTTGGCGTCACTGTTGCTGGTTATCCAGAGGCTCACCCAGACGCCATTGCAGCTGATGGCCTCGCCTCTCCAGAAGCATATCAGAGTGATCTATTTTATTTGAAGAGAAAGGTTGATGCTGGCGCCGATTTCATTGTTACTCAGTTATTCTACGACACTGATGTTTTCCTCAAATTCGTGAATGACTGTCGCCAAATTGGAATTACTTGTCCCATTGTTCCTGGAATTATGCCCATTAATAACTACAAGGGTTTCATACGCATGACTGGCTTCTGCAAAACAAAGGTATTATTAGTCGCCTTTTTGCTCTTCACTTTTCTTCCTCATCACCCCACTTTACAAACAAGAAAATGGCACACTGTAGATACCAGCTGAGGTTACTGCTGCCTTGGAGCCTATCAAAGACAATGAAGAAGCTGTGAGATTATACGGAATTCACCTTGGAACCGAGATGTGCAAGAAGATTTTGGCTCATGGGATTAGGACATTGCATCTTTATACTCTCAACATGGAGAAATCTGCATTGGCTATATTAACGGTTTTCTCTTTATATCTTTCTTATTCTTCTGACTTGATTTCAGATGTACATCAGAATAATATGAGTTGCTTGATTAAAACTTACCACCAAATATGTCCCCCTTACAATTGTACTAACTACTTTGGCAGAATCTTGGTCTGATTGAAGAGTCCAAAATATCAAGGCCCTTACCTTGGAGACGCCCTGCAAATGTTTTCCGTGTTAAAGAAGATGTTCGTCCAATTTTCTGGTATGCAACCCAACTGCTCCCCCAAATACACACACCCCCCAAAGAAAATATCTAATCGTCCTGGCAATTGATGGTTAGGGCTAATCGTCCCAAGAGCTACATATCAAGAACCGTAGGCTGGGACATGTACCCACATGGGCGGTGGGGTGATTCCGGTAACCCTTCATATGGAGCACTGACTGATTATCAGGTACAGTAAACACACAAATTTGGTCTTGGGGCCTATAATTTCGGGATGGATTTGGGTGGATTAGTCAACATTGTTAAATACTTGAGCATTCCAATGGTGTTCTCTCAGAGAAAATTTTACTTTTATTCCTAATCCAGTTTATTTCATGTGATTAAAGTTTTTCACAACCACATGTTCTTTTCTTACTTTATATTTTGCCTTTGCACTAGAGTTGGGTATGCATGACTTTAAGTCATAATTTTTCAACAGTTCATGCGGCCACGTGCACGTGACAAGAAACTTGTTGAGGAATGGGTTGTCCCATTGAAGAGCATTGAAGATATCTACGAGGTGAAGTTTCCATCTCACTCTGTTTTTTCTTAGCTTTGTCAGCAAACTACCTATGAACTGACGTACTGGAATTGCAATCATATCAGAAATTTAAGAAGTTATGCCTTGGAAAATTGAGAAGCAGCCCTTGGTCTGAACTAGATGGGCTTCAGCCAGAGACGAGGATCATAAACGAGTTGCTAGGAAAAATTAACACTAAAGGTTTCCTTACCATCAACAGCCAACCAGCGGTAAATGGGGAAAGATCTGACTCGCCGTCTGTTGGTAAGCAATAAGGACAAGTATGTTTGTCTGTTTGCGATTATGATAACCATTCGAAGATTCAATTTGTATCTCATTTTTTTGCAAGTGAGGCTTTATCTTAATTAACTTGATTTTTATCATCAAGAGTTTTTATCAGGATCACTGAAATCACTTGATAATTACAGGATCGCAAGTCTAGGTTCAGCGGAAAACTAGCTTGAACTTGATAATATGACACATTATTTTATTTTTCAATCATGAAGATCGGATTGAATTACTTTTTCAAAACTACAGCACAACTAAGAGATTTATTATTTTTTGTTTCTCTTCTTTTCCTTGAAACTAATATTTATATTTGATGATTTATTCATCACGAGTCTCGAAGAGATTCTGAAAAAATTGAACGGATCATTGCTTATCGATACTAAGAGACGTTTGCCTCAAGGACAGTTTATTACTCTTATTGTGTCTCTACTCCAAGTGAGGTGGCTGGGGTGATGGTGGGCCCTGCTTCCTGAGGATATGTTTAAGTCTCAAGATGAAGCCTGTAGTCGATAAGTGATTAGTTTTTGTAGCGGTTAATCGAGTGTTTCTTAAGGTGATAAGTATCCGCTGAATGAGTTTCATTCGCTAGGAATATAGAACTCAACAAAGATCTAATATACATGTAGTCGTGCTCACTCACATTTTAATTAGGTTTCTAGGTACGAACCTTAATATCTTTAAACTCCACTGTGAAACATAATGAACGGGAAGCTATGGATTATCTTCGCTTTGTGAATATGACGCGAGAACTGAGTGGTGAAAGGAATCCTAGTTCTCTCTCTCAAAAGTTGTTATTCAGCCTAGTAAAGCTATGGAGGCTTCCTCCTCTCTTAGGCGCAGCTCCAGTAATTTGCTCATAGGGAGATTAATCTTAAAAGCCGAGAACTGATACGTGACGGAGACTTCGTACGGCGAGTTTATTGTATATTGATTATGTTGTAGGCAAGTGTATCGATACAGGGCATTTGAAATTCCTGGTCAAGAGGATGGGGCCCGCTTTATACTCTGAGGCGTGGACTATACAATTTCTAAGGAAAATTTGACTACCGATAAGTAGTCTCTCATTTGTCGCTGTTTTTCATTGTATTAGAATGTGATTCTGCTTTTAGGCTCAACTTTGACCTGTAACATATTTATGGGAGAGCCTTGTTGTACGCTTGTTTTGTAAACTGTAAGCACTCTACAAACTTTGCGCGACCCGATATTTCGGTTCTCCAAGGTTCAACTTTCTCTCACATCTCTCAGTTTTTAGTGACTGAGAAATTGACAGGATTTGAGGGAGTGTATCTTCGACTTCGAAAGTGCTTTGATCTGCTTCAACTTTTTAGTTGGCACATCAGAAGTTGTCATGGTCATCTAATGCTACATTGTTTTGCTGTTCAGTGGGTATTGTGGCCTTTAATATAGTGCGACTCATCCACGGTGATGTGTTTTTGTTGTTTTTTGCTGATCTTCATGACATGAGCTGTTTCGTCAACTCCATTCCAAATCTCATATAATAATCCACCACTATACAAACTAATATGCGGCTGCATCGATATTTTTCAGTGTTGTGCGCGAAGGTTATTCCTTCTGAGCCGCACTTAAGTTGTGTAATATATATTAACTGTCAGAGTGGATTTTGCTCATTTTTGTATTAATCTCACCTGGTCCTTGCTGGCATAACAATTTGTTCCTGGAGTCTGCATCTTCTCGCTCTGAAATTGCAGAAGTGCAATGCTGTGCACCCATCCGGTCGTATACTTGGTGTTGAAGAAATATTAACAGGTACATCTTTCTTGATAGAGCAAAGTTGTGTGTTATTTCATATAATAGTGCCATATATACTCTAGGTTCTGAGTTAGATAGTGACTTTTTTTGTGTTGATACTCCTCCGATTTTCTCGTAGTCAGTTGTGCTCAAAGATGGTATACTCACAAGCGTATGGTATATACTGCTATAAATATACATGATGTTTTATCTCGTCTCTAGTCATAATGAGTGAGTATTATGTATTGGCCGCTAGCAATCCCTCCGATAACCCTTGTTCTACATCCCGGAAAAAGGATCGTTCCAATCCTTTATTTATTATTATTATTGCGTATATAACTATGATATGTTTATTTTCTATGTGCTTATTGAGACATCGCCATATATCTTTCATTATTATATAAATAGGAGAGATGTATAAAGAGTTTGACATGAATTTTTTCGAACGTCATTTGTCCCTTGTGCTCTCGGTTAGAGGCAAGAGCAGATTGATGCACATATGGAAAGAAGTTAAGTTGAGTGACATGTATAAATGTGATTGAAAACTTTAGACCCAGATCAAAGGAGCAAAAAGAATCTATTACAGCCTAGAGGCTTTTGAAAAATATAGTTTTTAAGTTTTTGGTTTATCGTTGCACTTATGCATAGCGCTGACTCTCTTGCGCGATCGTAGCACTTTTTGTCTCCTACGTTCTGTACCTATACAGTGCCGTTTTCAACTCTCTCTGATATTCCGTTTAGTCCTTTCATATCCATCCACTCCTGTGTTGGTAAAATAGTCTTCTCACTCCTACTAGCAAAGTGGAACCTAATGAGAATTATAGCTCTGCTCTGAATATGCAACAATGCCTCAAGAGAAATGGCAAATAGGTTATTCGATGGACCCGTAAAGCTAACCCTCCATAGAAATAAAGTCTCTGTTTTAGATTTTTGGGTGGTAAATATAATGAAATTCTCACTGAATCAACATCTATGACGCTCCTATAATTAGTGCAGGGATGAACTTTACCCTACTCATGATATGGACTGCCCAACTAGTTGTACATGCATCAGCTCAATGTCAAGATCATTCTGCTGTGTGAGAGAATTTTGAGATTGTCATCTTATCTTCTCCTCTATGTCTTGTAGTGAAAGGTAAACGAATTCTTTCATGCACAGATCATAAACAAAAAGATACCATCTATAGTACATCTCTTTTTTTACCTCAGATTAAGGGATTCAATAGTGCCAATTACGAGCCTCTCACGCGCCACGAGCAACGAAGTGTAGATAGAGGTTGAGGTGTGGTAGGTGTTTTGTGAGTATGACGTAATGAGACAAACGCCATCTCTCGATGCCAAAGTTAGAATTTATATCACCGGACTAGGTCGGTGCGCAAAAGTGTGTATAGAGAAGTGTTTGGCTGGAATTGTAGTTTGTCCAAGGAAGTAGATGCGGCGATCATATGACGTTCAGTATTTAATGTGTGTTTGAGAGTATGCGCTTGATAGTATTATGTTATTACCGTGATGGACTTCTTGCGGTGGCGTGAATGTTGGAGTCCTCTACTTCTTATGAGTGAGTAGTTAGAATTTAGGTGTTGAGAGGTTAAGAGGACCTCGAGAAAGTAGTCTATTTGCTATAAACATAAGTGAATGTTTGGTCGTGGTGATCTTGCTATGAATATTTCATTTTAATTGCAGGCGCGCAATGTTAAATAAAAAGTGATAGTAGATCGATTGTGATGAATTGAACGTTTAGCAAGAAAAGTGATGGATTAGGTTTTGAAATATGGATGAGCACTGGGCACATGTGGGTGGTTGTTATTACGCGCTATAGAGTTAGGATGTTAAATTTTTGCTAAGTGCTTAATTGAGGAGATATATAGAGTGAGAGGAATAGATATGTACTATTGACAATTAAATGGTGTGCTCTGAATGTAAGGCTGAATTAGAAGCGCCAATGTCTAATATTTATCATGCAGATTGAAGACTAATTTAAAGGAATGTGTTTGGAGAAGTAAGTTACCTTGTATGTGTTAGTATAGAGGATTTTTGATCGCGGATGAATATTTGTGGAATATTAAGTATAGACCTATTTGGCGAAGTTACCTTGATTGCATATCTTGGTTGAAAAGAGTGAGGTCTTATACCTTCGACGCTTTGCTTGCTCAATGCAGCTGGTCAGGAAGGAGACCTTACGGTCTAGAAATAATGACTTGCTCATACACAATGTCGGACCAGTTTGATTTATTTTTTTGTCACACATGTATTGTAACGAGAAATTTGAAATCTACGGTGGTACTGCATGTTGAGGTAGGTGTGTCACACTTCCGTGTGGTCTATAGTCTAATAGTGGTGGCAAAACTAACGACACAGAAAATGGAACAAACCTTTTCAGACACTTTCTGGTGCTAGGCGCACTCTGCCTCGTGGACTATATACCGAGCAGTGGAAAATGGACAAGAATATTAGGCTAGTCATGATGTGTAGATTGTGATGTTCATCTAATGGCCTTTCTAGCGGCTACAATACTTAGTGAGACTGCTTGATCCGTTATTTTGATGTATGATATCTCTCGTGTGTATATGACGGACATATATATCTAGATTCCTGATCGTTGAGTTAAGAGTGTGAGATACGAATATTACATTAAATTTCTCTCCAAAGGCCATAGTCTAATACATAATTAATCCATACCTTCCTTAATGGGTCGGTGAATTAAAATTAATCCTCATTACTATAGTTGGCCAGATATAGGCGATGTAATTTCTTATTATATCGTACTTCAAAAATGAGATGAGAGAATAGCTTAGAGGAATAATTTGTTAGCCTACCACTCGGGCATCTTTTCAGCTTAGTATATCTCCTTTGAGGCTACAGGTCTTCTACATCTTGCCCGTGATCTAGATTCACTTCTAGTTTGGGCGAGATAGCATTTCCAGGAAGGTCTTGGTTACTCTCAGAGCACTGTACTTCTCTTTCGAGTTATTGAGTTTCTCTTTCACGATACCTATTCTTTATCGTCATTGGATCAAAACAGTATTGGCGTGACTGTCAATGCGAAAAAGAAGGCAAAGCCGTGACTTTAGGACGTTGGAGAGGAGTAGGTGAGTGCTCGAGGCATCCGTTCATCGGCTGTATATGCAGCGTGCTTAGGTGTCGACTATGCGGCATGGCTCTCGGCAATGCAAAGCGGGTGAGTGATTTGATTGTGTAAGGCTATTGGCACCCACCTGAGCTTTTATAAGACACTAGCTCTCTATCTTTCTTCTAGAAA